GAAGAGTATCAAACAAAATAAAAACAAACAGCCAAAGCACGAAAAAATCAAAAGAGCATGCCAAGTTCAAACAACGCACTTTGAAAGAGTCAAGCAAATCAAGGAAAAATAAAATATTTCAATCTTTACAAACCATAAGTTCAGTATAATTATAACATATAAAATTTTACATGTTATTATTATAGTATGATTATAATTTCAGTACAGGATAATAATTTAATTGATTTGTTTCTTCTTTCATACATCATTTTAAAAATAATATTAATATCTCTCAATGTATTTTGAATATTAAACTTTTTACTTTCAATAAATAATTTGATATTTTCTTTAACATCTTCCCCTTTCTCTTGACTATATCCCAACATCCATAATATATCATAAATCATGTCATATTTTCTTACTGATTTTAAGAAACTGTTTAACATAATCATAAGGTGGTATTTTATTTACAGTTAGAAATATTAAAATCTCATCTTCTACATTTCTATTATGTCTTCCTTTTATTCTCAACAGACATTTGATTAAAAATTGATTATCTCTCCATTCCTGACAATTTTCACATTCGTCTTTTTCATCCATTGAATAATTAATAATATTATTCACTGTTTCATTAGGTAAATTTAATTTATACAATTCCATATTTTCTTTTTTGAAGTGACAACAATCATAGCATTTTTTATTGATATAATTATTGATTTTATCACCGTTCATTTTCCTCTTATTATATTAAGGCACTATTTCTTTAAGTCATTTTTAAGGCATTAAGAAAAAATAAGAAACAAACCATAAGTATAGTATAATTATAACATATAATATTTTACATGTTATTATTATAGTATGATTAATAATTATGGGTTAAATTTATAGTCAGGAAATATGTCTTCAAATATGTAATCTACATATTTATCAATATCACCAATGTCTATATATTTGATATTGTCTTTTCCTATTATTGAATAAATATATTCCCAGAAAAACAAATTAACTAGTAGCCATACATGATATTTAGTGTTGTAGTAATACCATACATGATATTTAGTTATTCTAAATTCATTCAACACCTCGTTTATTTTATCTTTACTTAATAAATGCCAATCAACCGCTTCAAACATGTCTCGATTTTTTTAGCAAATGCTTTATATGGTTTAATTGCGTCTGTTCCTCCAAACCTTTTAATCAAATCTTTATTATTAAAAAACTCATCAATTTCTTTTTCAAATGACTCTCTATCAATTTTATGGTAAAACCATACAGGAAATCGTTTTTGATATCTCATAAAGAATTTCAATTTTAATTGAAACTTTGTATATCCCATATCCTTATGTTCTTCAACAAAAAACTGTTCAAGGTCTCTAGTTATACAACACTGGTTACAATATACATTATACTCACTTATTTTACTACACAGATTAGCAGGTAATAAGTTATACAATGTAAAATTGATATCATTCTTTTTATTATTACAACATTCACACTTACTATAATTAAACAGTGTCATTTTTCCTCTTAATATATTAAGTAAATATTTATTTAAGTCGTTTTCAAAGAATTTATTTTATAATGGCCGTAAGCAAGTGGGTTTATATTATTTATCCAATATTTTTTGTTTTCATAACTACTAAGAGCAATCTTTTTAGTTGTTATACTAAAAATTCTGTGGTTTTTACTTCTAATACTATTAAATGACTTATGTATAACCTCATTAGTTTTTAAAACCGTCTCAAACTCTTCATATTTCATTTGACGTCTTACTGTGCCTTTTGCTATGCCCTTACATTTCTTATATTTTTTATCATCACCATAAACTGAGTAAGCATAGCATTTAGGACGAAGAGCTATAAACCCTGTTATTATTTTACTTTTTAATTCATCCTTAAATTTACCTAATACTTTCTTGTTATTATCATCATAACATTTATGTTCCTTAGGATAATCTGAAAAATCTAATTCTTTTTTAATTGTATTAAGGTCTTCATAAATGTCATTGGTTTTAGTATGAAATACAAAACTATCAGTATCAGTATATACCATTTTAATATTATCTCCATATTTAGGTTTCATAACGTCATAATAAAATTTATACATGTGTTGCTTACTCAAATCTAAAATACTCATCCCAATAAATATAGGTTTGTCTAGTTTCAACTTTGTTTTTTGCTTTTCAACTCCAACCAAATTTTCATTAATGATATGACTATGTTTGAAGTTAGGATTACTTACACACTTCATATATCTAGTTTCATCACTCACAACTTCAAAGTCTAAATGTTTTCGCTTATCCTCCATTGTTTTTCCAAATATGGCATTGTTCATCAATTTGTAAACATCTTTCTCAAAATCATTTCTAGCATTCTTCCTCTTCTCAGTGTTAAACTCAATGTAAGGTTTTAAAACTTCTTTTTGTTCAAATTTAATTGCTCTATGAATTTTCTTAAGTTTTAACCCCTGCTTCAAATAAAATTGTAAGGTTCTTATATGGATTACATATTTTTCTTTATCATTTAAATTCAATACTAATTTATTTGTTTTCTCATCCGTAGGTTTTTTATGATTTAAAAATTCATAAATTTCAATTTGTTTATCTGACAGCATGTTGGCTTTAACATTCATAACCTCAGGTGCCATTGGATAGTCATTGTGTAAATCGTGTAATTCTTTAGGATATTCTAAATCCACTTCTAGAATATATCCAATATTATTATTCTTATAATTAATAATGTCTTCTTCTTTTAATGTATCATCCCATTTTAGATTTTTATATGGCAGTTTTTGTATCATGCTTAACCCATACAAATTATTAGCATCAAAATAGTTAATATAACTACTTTCTTTATTTTTATCATATTCTTCTCCCATGTATTTATTATTTGCTTCAACTTTTTTAGTAGAAACCATACACATCCCGCCTCTAAGTCCCGCTTCTATCATTTCATACATTTCTTGGTCATATATTAAATCAATCTCTACACCAGTCATTTTAAGCATAGCATCAAAAGCAAAGTTAGGCAATGTATAATAATAAGCAGGGTCCAATCCATAATATTTCATACATACATCTCTAAAGTTTTCGAAAATGTCAGTCAATAATAATACATCAGTTTTCAAATATAAATCATGGTATTCACCCATATTCTTAATGTCGAAATGCTTCCATATAATTTTTGCCCTTTCATAGTCGTTAACACTTATACCTTCTTCACTCAACTGACTATAAAAATCATCCTTACTCGGTAATTGCTCATCATCAAATTTATCAAATGAATTCATGTAGTCATAAGGATAAACACCTTTATCAGTCAACAAATCTAGACATTTCTCACTCTTAATAACATCATTTTTACTACTAAACCTAAAATTATCTTTCCAGTTTTCACGCAATAACCATTTACTTTTATCTTCTTCATCTGTATTATCATACTTACTCATTGAAACTAACTTATCTAATGAAGCAGTTAAAAACCCAAAAGTGTCTTTAACACTCAAACTTTCAAAACTGATATTAATAAATTTTTCACTGTTCTGAGCGATGACACCTATTTTACTGTTGTTACTTAATTTATCAGCATTTTGAATAATTAAATGACCGTCATAATTTTTCATGTTATGAAAGAATACTGGAATTTTAAAATATCTATTACAAAAATTAAGATTGCAAACATTATGAGCACAACCTCTATACTTACCTGTAAAATGACAATGGTCTCTAACTTTTCTATATTTCTCTGCTTCCTTGGCATTCTTATAGTTCATTCTAAACTTATCCCCACAAATAAAGCAGTTTTTAGCATTTTTAAAATCTTCTTTGTCTTCGTCAGTCATGTCTATTTTTTCGTTTTCTCCCATCTTCTCCTTTACTTCTGCCCTAATCTCATTAAGTTTTTGACAAAACACATCAACAGCATCTTTACCACGATACATAAATTCATAATTTGTATTATCAACAGCATTAACCATATTAAGCATAAAACCACATGGTTTATGCTCTTGATAAGAAAAAGTGTTTTTATCTTCATCTTCATCAGGTTTTTTCAGTTCCTCTGTCAAACATTCAAAATCAGCATATACAACAAAAGGACATCTTAACTTTTTGAAGTGATGCTTAAAACTAACTTTCTCATAAGGCTTAGGCATTACTATTTGTTGACCATCAA